AAGCTGTGAACAGAAGCTTTCGCATATGAATGGCCTGTTCTTTTGCAATCTAAAACCTAACAAACTGCAGCTCCGTCAAAGAGCACCAAAGCTTCCAAAAGAAGGGCTACACAGTAGCCTGCATTGCTTCATAGCTGGGCCTCATCTGAGCACTTCCAAACCCCAAACAAAGAGGAGGAATCCGCAGATCTCTCTGTAGCTCCTGCTGGGTGGACTCAGGCAATGGCTGACTTTGCACCTCTTTGGAGATTCAAGAGCCAGTGTACCCAGCGGTCAGAGTGAGACCATACCAGAGTACAACTCTTCACATTCGTAAGAGACACACTCAGGGGGAAGACTCAGTGAGCACCAAAGCCCCACTGAAGCAAGTCCTGAGACATCAAACTACTGGATATAGAGTTCAAAACCAAACTTTTAAGGTTTTTCAAGAATTTTCTGGAAACCGCGGATAAACTTAATGAGACCCTCAAGAAATCTAGTGAGACCCTCAAGTATACGAAAAAGGACCAATTAGAAATTAAGCATACACTTACTGAAATAAAGAATTATATACAGAGATCCAACAGCAGACTAGAGGACCCCAAGAATCAGGTCAAAGATTTGAAATATGAAGAAGCAAAACACACCCAACCGGAAAAGAAAAAAGAAACCAAAAATATGAAGATAGTGTAAGGAGCCTCTGGGACAACTTCAAGCGTACCTATATCCGAATTATGGGGGTGAGAATAAACTGGTGAATATAATAGAATCAGGGGCATAGAAAGGGAGTGGACTAACAATTCTCAGGGGGAAGGGGATGTGGGGGGTGAGGGAAGAAACTGCACAAAAATCATACACCTATGGACGAGGACAGTGGTGGGGGTAAGGGCATGGGGTGAGGTGGGAACTGGGTAGAAGGGAGCTATGGGGGGAAAAAAGAGGAACAACTGTAATAATCTGAACAATAAAGATTTATTAATAATTAAAAAAAGAATCTAAATAAATAAATAAATGTTAGCCAATGCACTTAGCTGCCAAAGTCTTTATCTAACCTTAGCTTTATATTCCTTTTCTTTTCTCATCAAAATAAGTAACACATGCATGCTACATCAATATATTTTAATAAATAGGGTTCTTTTTGTTGTCAAAGTACTTCTTTGTTCTTTTACTTTTTAGCTGCATGGCCTTGGGCAACTTACTGCTCTGATCCTTATATCCCCATTGGTAAAATGGGTATAATAGTAAAAACGACCTCATAGAGTAGTAGAGAGAAGCAAATATGATAATGTAAATGTATTACTTAGAAGGACGTACAGCGCCTGGCATTAAGTACACCATATATTATTTTATATACATGTACACACATCCTATTACCTTAAAATGTTGATTCAATTCAGATACTCCTGTAGAGAAGAAACCATGCTCAATCTATGCATAAACTGGCTTGCAACTATAAACTGATATTAACAAGAATACAAAACTTTAGAATTGAGAAAGGTCTCGAAAATCATCTGGGGAAAACACCATAATTGAACAGGTTAGGGTATGGAGAGCCACGGATGAGAAGTGACTTGTTTAACATCACACTCCTAACCAGGGCAGAATCAGCATTAGAATCTAGGCCAGTGATGGCAAACCTTTTGAGCTCGGCGTGTCAGCATTTTGAAAAACCCTAACTTAACTCTGGTGCCATGTCACATATAGAAATTTTTTTATATTTGCAACCATAGTAAAACAAAGACTTACATTTTTGATATTTATTTTATATATTTAAATGCCATTTAACAAAGAAAAATCAACAAAAAAAATGAGTTCGTGTGTCACCTCTGACACACGTGTCATAGGTTCCCCATCACTAATCTAGGCTTTTCTGTGTCTTTTAAGTAACTTAAAAATACTTCTTGAGGATCAGTTCCAGACTTACCTTTTTCTACCTTTATACTGGTGATATCATTACTATCCTATCTAATAAAGACAGAATATGCAAATTGACCATCACTTCACAACCAAGATGGTAGTGCCCACAGTCAATAAGGAGGGACTATGCAAATTGACACAACAAAGATGGCAGCGGCTGGGCCAGGAGCACACGAAGGCAGAAGGCGGCTCCAGACTGGAGTGAAGGCGGAAAAGCAGCTCCAGCCGGAGCGAAGGTGGTGCCAGCAGCCAAGGGAAGGAAGGCCTATTCTTGCAAGAATCTTCATGCATCGGGCCTCTAATGCTAATCAGATTTGCCTTCACATATCTATACTAATAAAAGGGTAATATGCTTCTTAGACTGGAAGACCTTCTGGGAGACCTTCCAGAAGTCCCGGATTGTGAGAGGGATGTCCGACTGCCAGTTTAGGCCCAATCCCTAAATCGGCAGTCGGACATCCCCAGAGGGGTTCCAGATTGTAGAGGGTGCAGGCGGGCTGAGGGACACCACCCATGCACGAATTTCATGCACCGGGACACTAGTCTTTTATATAATCTAAAACATAAGTATATACATAAGTAGCCCCTTAGAATGCTTTGTGATTACTATTACTGGATTGATTTTACCCAACTACTAAACTAGAAGTTTCTTAAGGGGCAAGAACTTTGCCTTATTCTTATCTGCTTTAGCGGAAGCCAAGTACCATATAATTAGCAGGCACTGATATATTTCTTTATTTCAAAGTCACAATGGTGGGGAAAGAGCTAAGCCCTCCAAAAAAGCAAACTTCCTGATTACTACTTCTAAGTTAAACATGGACTTTAAGAGGCTTGGAAACTTGGAACACATTATCAACCATCTAGACAGCCATCCTAGACACGAATACTCCCTTTTCTATCAGGCTTGTGTATTCTAAACGGAATCAAGTAAGTCATATTCTTAAGTCAAGAAAAATTAATAAGCAAGTATATTTATAGTAAATTACAGTTATAAAACAGGAAGTGCTGCGGTCATATGTTCTACTTCCTTAGAGAAACCAAAGACGGACTAGCTGAATCAGAGAATATTGGGGAAACTTCCTAAATCCTCAATCTTAAATCTGATTTGGTTTTTCTGGTTATTACTGGGAACGAAAATAACATATCTGTATAACTTTGTTTACTAAGCCTTTTACCATTCAATTAGCTGTTGTCTATGTTTAAGAGCACAGTCACATGCCTAGAACTAAAGCGCCTCAGGTCCTATGAGCCTGCTCAGGAAAGTAGCCTAGTGGAGCCACCAAGAACTGATCTCAAAGCAGGAATTTGGAAAAGAGCACATGACTGTCATTTTTCACCCTGTAATTTTCAGTCAGCAGTAGACTGCTTGTTGCATGAAAATCAAAAGTTCTAACACTCATTTACAGACATCCCCAAATACTTTCACCTCGTGAAGAATGTAAATTTTAAGTATATCTTGTAACCTTTCATATGGCACAGCCATGTACAAAACAGGTTTGTATGAAAAAACATTAATTCAAAAGGCTTACTGCATAGTCAACAGCAGCTGGATGGATTGTGTGGACATTTTCATGAATGCTCCGGGTGGAAGAGGGGAAAAAATGAATCAAAGCACAGCTTAATTCTAAAATAACTGAGAACTGAAAGAACCCAAAGTGGAACGAAGTGGACAAAGGCCATCTAAAGTGGGGGTAGTTAAAACAGGTAGTATACCTAGTCACCGTGTAAGTCAAAAGAAAGGCAGTGTCATTTTATGTATTGAATCTCTACCAAGACTGGAAGCAACTTGAGGACAGGTTTGATCATCTTTGCATCCTCTTAGCATTCAGTAGAATAAGGGGTATATGTTGGTGTATTCATCATTCTTCAATACATTCTTAAATTTGTTAAACAAATGTTCAAAGAAAAGTTCTGCAAGTATCAGAACTTGTTAGCTCACAAGGTTAAAGGGAGTCAAGCTGTCTACTGACACAACACAAGGGAAACGGCTACACTGATTACTGGAGGAGACAAAGAGCTGCCGCTTGAAAAACTGTACCCCAGACCAGTATGTACAATGACCGGAGGCAGGGAATAGCGACCGCAGTCTCTTAGATTGGTTTTAAGCTTTCGAGTGCAATTTCATGACTATTATTCATTCAACAGGCACTTCCTGAGCACTCACTATGTACTGTACTGAGCACCAGGCAGAGATGAACAAACATAAGAGGTCTCTGTCCTGTCAGGGCTCATAATCCAGTCGGCTCGGTGTGCAAGAACAGAGGTAATCACGCCTAGCTGTGGGAATAGGGAAGAGAAAGCAATTTTTTTCTTGCCTGGGATGGTGAGAGAAGAGAAAGTACCCCAAAGGTGACATCCCTGAAGGATGCTCAAGCTGACTCACCAAGGCCAATTCTTAAGTATCACCACTTTGTCCCCCTCGCCCGCCAAGAGAAAGTCTTCTATTGGCCCCAAGTGACTCCTATAAGAACTCTTGAGGCAGGTATCCTCATCAGCCATCACCCGCATTGCACAGGAGAAACTGTGACCCAGAAAGCTAAAGGCGAACCTCAGAGTGATATGCGTGTCAGGGGAGATGCCAGGCCCAGAAGGCACGTGGGCAGACTCAGCAGTTTCGAGCTCTGCCAGGATTCCAAGACCTGTCTGCAGAGCGCCGGAGTGTGGCAAGGGTCTGGACCCGGAAGTTGGGGAGACGTCTGAAAAGAGAGCGACCCCTCCAACCATCTGCCCGACTTCCTCAGCCACGCCTTCTGTCCCACGCTTCACAGTCACTCACACTCACCCGCCGCTAGGCGAGAGGAAGTCGGTGTCGTCTTCGTCGCCCGCACCGAACATCGCGCTGGCTTTCGCCCGGCAGCCGGGAGGAAGTCGGAGCGTTTCCTGGGCCTTTAGCCGCCGACGTCGTGAAATGCCGCGGAGGCGTGCTGCTTTACGGCAGGACGAACTCTCGCAAGCTAGTCCACGGGACAGGAGGTGGGGCAAAGACCTGGGAGGCACGCGCGCGGCGTGACGTCAGGCTTCTCCAGCCCTCAGAGGCGGCGAAATCCGCGGGAGCTCCGACGTCCTGAGCAGGGATTGGCCAATGAGGCAGGGGGCGGGGCAGGGGCGGGAATGGGCGGCCTCTGTGGCAATCGTGGACACGTCGAGCCGGTCACTAGTGGAGGGTGTTAATGTAGAGTCGTGAGGGGGCGACTGGAAACGGTTCTGTAAAGGAGACGCCGGTGGCGGGACTCGGTCTGGGAAGGTAAGGCCTCCTTCGCCCCTCTCTCTACCTTGGCACGAGCACAGCCCCTTCCCCTCCGGCACCAGGACTCTCCGCGCCAGTTTACCCCGCTCGGCGAAAGGAAAAGGGCCCGGGATGGGCATTCTGGAGGTCTCCGCTTTCGGCCGGGCCCCAGCAGTGACTTCGCTGGAGTGACCTTGAGGCAAGATGTTCGGTGCCTCAGTTTCCCCTCCTGTAAAACTGGCCTGGCGCCCCTACCTTTTGTACCCTGTGGCCGACCTCGGTATTTATCCGACGGGCCATTTGTGCAGTGCTTCTGTGTGTCGGCTGGCGAGAAGCTTTTAGACCCCAGAGGTCATCGAATTCAGTCCCCTTCTCCCCATAATCCCAGGGTTTACAGGTAGGAGAAGAAGGAACGAAGTACTTGAACGAGTAGTCTGAGGTCACGCAGAGTCAAGGGCAGGCCGGGGCTGTATCCCCGGCCTCTGGATTCAGGAGCTGGGGAGCTGCTGCAAGTCCCTCACCGGCCCGCCAGCACCGTGCGCCCTCCCGGAGCGCTGATGGCTGGACTGTGGCTGCCTCTTGGGAAAGGCCCCCTCTCTGGAGCCCGCCGATGCAGGTGAGGTGCAGGGGAGCTGGGACCTTCCACAAAGGAGGCAGCGTGAGCTGCTGAAAATCTCCAGCCCCAACCGCCTGGGTTTTGCTCAGTCCTCCTGCCGCAGACTTAAGTCAGCATCAGTTCTGGCCGACTTCTCTGCCTCCCGTTCCCAGCCGCTCTGTTTCTTGTATTTCTTTGGTTAATCTGGCGTAGTTCTTGGAACAGGTTCTAGAACAGGTTCTTAGCCAAGGTGTGGATCAAGCAAGTTCATGTCCCACCGAAGCGTCCATTCCCACAGATCTCGCTGGAATTGCACTCCAGCTTCTCTCCATCGGATTAGTACAACAGGTGTCCCCTACCCGAATGTTTTAATCTGTTCGCATGAAATTGAAGTGACGTGATTGGTGGCTCCCTCCCTGAGAACTTCGAACCTCTTGGCACTTCCCTTGCTGTGCTTTTTGTTATAATCTGTGTACTTCTCAATTGTAAGCTTCCCAAGGACAGGGATCGTTTTATTCATCTTGATGTCTCCTTGTGCCCCAGAGCACTATGCTTTCTTGCCCGTAATGAATTCTTATTAATGCTTCGTTAGGTTGAAGTAATGGAATTCATCCTTGTTCCCTTATTCCTTAATTTACTCTCTTAGGGTCTCTTCCCCCCATGTGACCCAGAGAGCCCAGCAATGGCTCTTGCCTTTCATAGGTAGCTTCCAGAAAAATAAAAATGCTGTCCTATCTGCGAACTGTCGGGGGTGCTTAGTCTTTTGTTAATTAAAGATGATTTGACTATGGTTTAAAGCTGCGGGGAGGGGACTACGGCAGCTAGAAATGTTACATGTAACTCTAATTTTTGTTGGTAAAGTATTACTCTGTTGAACTGGGGATAGGGCTGTTGTCTACTTCCTGTGTTTACTTTACAGATTAAGATGGTTAAAGCAGTGATGCAACTGGTATCTAAGCACTAGAACAGGAGCCCTTTAGAGTAGCTCTGTTTAGAATGTGAAGTTGGTTACTTCTCGGGAAATAAGAGAATGAACTGCATAAGTAACATAGCTCTTTTTAACCCCTCTCTTCAGTGCTGGTCATTGTCACTTTAGCACTAAAACATCTGAGTGGTGCTTTTAAAAAAAAAACACTAAAGCAGTGGTTCTCAACCTTCTGGCCCTTTAAATACAGTTCCTCATGTTGTGACCCAACCATAAAGTTATTTTCGTTGATACTTCATAACTGTAATGTTGCTACTGATATGAATTGTAATGTAAATATCTGATATGCAGGATGGTCTTATGCGACCCCTGTGAAAGGGTCGTTGGACCCCCAGAGGGGTCACGACCCACGGGTTGAGAACTGCTGCACTAAAGGATCGTTTGACTGTTTATGGTGCATTCTGAATGGGGTGTTTTATCTAGGGTATTTAAGTAATCTTTTTATATAGGTAGGAATCCTAAAATCTGGATCAGCCCTTTTGGTGATTGGAATGCCACAAATATGCCTATCCAGATCACTGTTGTGGTAAAACCACAGCTGGTTCTGATTGGCAGTATAAGGAAATGGAAGATAGTGGTGAGGCTTCCTTATTCCTTAGTTTTTGAACTGCAGGATTGGGTGCACCTAAAAAGCCACTTTCTTCCTGAATTAGAATATTGAACTAGGAATCAGGAAACTTACATTCCTATCCCAAGTCTTTCTAACTCACTCTGAGCTTGGGCCAGGCTCCCTGAGCACTTTGTAGAAGGAGTGGTTTAGATCCAGACGTCTGTTAAGTACTGCTGGCGGTGCAGAGGTAAGTTATGGCACACTCTTGATCTCAAGTTTGAATTAAGAATTTTGTTTGCATACAGCTTTTAGATGTATTTGTAAAATGTATCAACACCTTAAAGACTAGCCAGGAAGCAGCAGTTTTAACAATTACTTTCAAAATCAAATTTTGCTACAGAGATGACAATTTTTATATACAGCTACACCCATACTAATCTGTACTGGTGAATGCATTTTAAAATTAATAGATCAAAGTTATAGCAAAGTTAAATCATAGGTGTGGTAATAGGTATATGAGTTGAATATAGGTTTGGGGGGTTTGGTATTGTGCATGTTCTTTCTGTCCAGTCACTAAAAACAGAAGAATGTTAGAACATAATTCAGGAAATATTATCTGAAAACCTGCCATGTGCTGGATATTGCCTAAGATAGGAAAATGAGTTAGTCACTAATAGTTGAGTAGTGGGGATAATGGAAGTATACAAATAGCCATAAAGAAGACATAACAAAGTAAGTCCCATTGGTAGAAATTAATTATTGAAGAATTTCAAAGGAAGAAATGATCATATCTAGTTTGGAGGAGAGTGTGGGGTTAGATAATGGACTTGAAGATGAGTGGGATCCAAGTGGAAGCGAGAAAATAATACTTCCAAGATTGAAGGGGTGGCTTTGGCAAAAGCAAAAAGGCAGGAAAGTAGGCAAAAATTTCTTATAAGAATTGTCCTGTTATCTGATGCAATTAGGGGTGGTAGTTAGTTAACTGAAAAAGTAAGTTAAAACACGGAATCATACAGATATTAGTTACAGACCTTAAACATTTTACTTAACTTAAAACATAAACATGTTTTGCCATTCTTTTAACGTAAGCCTTTCCTTGGAGTGTAGGTTCAGGGATCTGCAAATTCTAGTGTGAGGGCCAAATCTTACCCTAGCCTGCTGCCTGTTTCTGTAAATAAAGTTATTAGAACACAGCCAGGCTCATTTCTTTACGTATTATCTATGGCTACTTTCTTTCTTTTTTTCTTTTTTTTAAAATATATTTTATTGATTTTTCACAGAGAGGACGGGCGAGAGACAGAGAGTTAGAAACATCGATGAGAGAGACATCGATCAGCTGCCTCCTGCACATCCCCCACTGGGGATGCACCCGCAACCCAGGCACATGCCCTTGACCGGAATCGAACCTGGGACCTCTCAGTCCGCAGGCCGACGCTCTATCCACTGAGCCAAACCTGTTTCGGCTTCTATGGCTACTTTCACATACAAGGTAGAGTTGAGTGGTTGTGTGTATCATCTTCATCTAGTCTTTCCAAAGCTTTCAACTTGGTTTTCTAGAAACAACTACTCCTAGATTCTTAAGCTCTGGAGCCAAATTATTTTGCCATGTATTAGTTGTGTAGGCCTTAGGCAAATTGCTCAGTTTCCTCCTTTTAAAACAGGGACAATAATAGTATCTAGTTCTTAGGGTTCCTGTGAAGATTATCTGAGTTAATTCATGTAAAGCACTTAGAACAGTACCTGGCAGGTAGTAACTACTCAGTTAATTTTAGCTGCTGCTGTTGTTTTTCTCTTCTCATCTATACTTCATTGCTTTACACAATACTTCATTAAATTATGTATTTATAATAATTAGCAGACTAGCATAAGTTGTTTTTGAACAAACACAACTGATACCCTTTATTAGTACACAACCTCACTGAGAGGGAGAACTGAAGTGTTACTCCGATGATATTGGAGAATAACTTTGCTAGTGTGTTATCAGTTAAGTGGTTAAAAGAGTTCTGTGGGATAGTTTGCTAAGAGTGTAAGACAGCAGTACACTTAGGGAAGTAGGGGATTAAAATTGAAAAGGAGACCAGGGCCGTATTTGTCAATACCTTGAAGGCCAAGATGACAAGTTTGTACTTAGCTCAGTAGGAAATGGAATTTTTTTATTCTAAATGACATAGTGTTGTAAAAAAAATTCAAATGGTTTAGGAGTATATGAAGTAAAAAATAAAAGTTTCCCCACCCCATGTGAGTAACTACTTCATTTTTCTAATAATCCTTAGAATGTGGAATTGAATGAGATAAGACATGGTAAACACTATTTGGGACACTGGTATTGATCTGTTAAAAACCTCAATCCAGTTTGGCGGGGGGGAGGTGGATCATAATATCAATTTTTAATTGAGAAAAAATAAAGGTTCTAGACTGAACGTGAATAAAATTCAATGACTGCTCTGAAGGTAACAATTTATACCATACTCTTAAGAGTCTCTAATCCTTAAGTGTGTTCCTCTCTTTGATCCAATTTGGTTCTGCTGTTGATTCCTCTTTGTACCTTCCTCACCAGAACTGCTACAAAAGAGAAAAGGATGATATGATTATCACTGGAAAAGCAAGTGTTTACAGTGACAAGATGACTTCATGTAGTGGAAGATGTCAAATAAGTCAGTGACCAGGTGGCACAAAGATAACTGCCATTAAAGTTGGCAAGTTGCCAAAACCGGTTTGGCTCAATGGATAGAGCGTCAGCCTGCGGACTGAAAGGTCCCAGGTTCGATTCTGGTCAAGGGCATGTACCTGGGTTGCGGGCACATCCCCAGTAGGAGATGTGCAGGAGGCAGCTGGTCGATGTTTCTAACTCTGTCTCTCTCCCTCCTCTCTGTAAAAAGTCAATAAAA